ACCCAAGGGTTTGAGACCGCCTGGGCAACATGGCAAGACCTCATCTCTACACTAAATCAAAAAATTAGCCAGGTGTGGTGGCATGTGCCTGTGGTTCCAGCTACTTCTAAGGCTGGGTGGGGAGGGACTGCCTAAGCCTAGTTGGTCAAGGCTGCGGTGACCATGAGCATGCCATGGCATTCCAGCATGGGCGACAGTGAGACTCAACTCAAAAAATAATAATAAAGTAAGTAGGGCAACCCCTTTGGGTCCCCTCCCACTGTGGGAGATTTTCTTTCCTCTCAATAAATCCTGCTTTTTCAAAAAAAAGTAAGTAGATAATGAAAGGCACACAGAACAATGCTTTGTAGTCTAAAAACCAACCCAAAGTGGTTCTTCCAACACTGTCTGATGCACATTCCCCTCTCCCTTTGTATAATCCTTTAAAGGACACCACCCTTACGCCAGGGCATGGTTTCACCCCCAAGGTCAGGTTCCTCCTCTCAGGAGCCTCCCCTAAGGCAGTCACTAATTGGTGAGGTAAAAGGTCCTGGTGGTGTTTAGGTAGGAGCCCTCTTCCCCATAACACTGGGCAGGGAAATGGCTCCTGGCCCCACCATCTTCAAGTCTTTGTCCTTACGTCACTTAACTCACACATTTAGAACAGCAAACGCTACTTTGGGAGACCGAGGCAAGAGGAATGCCTGATCCCATGGGTTTGAGAACAACCTCAGCAACTTGGTGAGACCTCATCTCTACAATAAATCAGAAAATTAGTCGAGCGTGGTGGTGCGTGCCTGTAGTTCCAGCTACTTAGAAGGCTGAGGCAGAATGATCACCTGAGCCCAGCAGGTGGAGGCTGCTGTGGTAGTGAGTATGCCACTGCATTCCAGCCTGGGTGACAAGAGGCTCCTAATAAAAAAAAAAAAACCCTGCAACCTCCATGCCACAGAAATTCCTGTCCCTCTTCCCAGTCTAGCCTTCTCTCAGGTGTTTCTCCCCACTTCACAACGTGTTTCACCCATTTTACCATCCATCTCTACCCAGAAGTACCAAGCTTCACGAGGGTAGGGAAGCTGTTTTGGCTGTTCGGTTCACTTAGGGTCTCAGGGCTTTAACGACTGACTGGCACAGAGGACACACATGGATATTTGTTGAATAAGTGAATAAATATTAAAAAAAACCAAAAAACCACACACTTGTCTCTAAACTTCAGACCCCTCCCCCTCAGTTGTCAAATTCAGATTGCAATGTCAGGACTCACTCCCTGTAAGGGAGAAATGGGAGTGTCCCTTCCAGAGGGAGATTCCCCACAGGGTAGAGAGCAGATAGAGAAGGAATCTGGAAAGTGAACTTTTGCAATGCCCTGGCTCCCAGGAAGGTATAAAGGGAGAATAATAATAAAAGGAGACAAAAGTCAGGAATGGCATTCTCAGCAGAGTGGGAAACATGCAGTGAGAGGAAAACCGCTGCAAAGAAAAACACACATTTATGAAACTCTTTTCAGCAAGTAATAAGTGCCATTGGAGCAAAAAACACCTGTACTAGATGAAGACCTTGGTTCCAGTTGAGTCTCCACCATTAACCAGCCTAGTGACCCTTGACCAAATCACTCCACTTACAGGTACACTTATTATTATTATTTTTTTTTTGTCTCACTCTGTCACCCAGGTTGGAGTGCAGTGGCATGCTCACAGCCACCACAGCCTCAATCTGCTGGGCTCAGGCTAACCTTCTGCCTCAGCTTTCCAGGTAGCTGGAACAACAGGCACACGCTACCACTGATTTTTTATTTATGTATTATAGAGATGAAGTCTCTCCAAGTTGCCCAGGCTGGTCTCGAATCCCTAAGCTCAAGCAATACTCTCACTTCGGCCTCCCAAAGAGCTAGGATTACAGACTTGAACCACCACGCCCAGCCAGGTGCACTTTGTTGGTAGGTATTTATATTTATTTATTTATTTATTTGTTTATTTATTTATTTATTTTTGAGTTGGAGTCTCACTCTGTTGCCCAGACTGAAGTGCAGTGGCCGCTCCCGGCCACTGCAGCCTCGACCTGCTGGGCTCCGGTGATCCTTCCGCCTCAGCCTTCCAAGTAGCTGGAATTACAGGCATGCGCTACCACGCCCGGCTGATTTTTCGATTTATTGTAGAGATGAGGTCTCGCTGCCCAGGCGGGTCTCGAACTCGCTGGCTCAGGCAATCCACTCACCTCAGACTCCCAAAGGCGCGGGATTACAGGCTGAGCCACCGAGCCCGGCTCATATTTTTTAGTTACTGATAATTAATACAGCTAACATGTATTGAACACGCAATGTGCCAGGAAGAGTTAGTTCTAAATGCTCCTCTGTTAGAAACTCATTTAATTCTCCTAACAACCCAATGGCCTAGACATCACCTTTATTTTATATTTGAGAAAACTTTGGCATAGAGAGGTTAATTAATCTGCTTCAAGCCACACAAATAGTAAGGCATGAAAGAGGGTTCTAGATGTTTTGGATATAGACGTAAGCAAAACAATGCAAATATTTACCCATGTGGAGTTTATCGACATATGTAACTTGCTCTCCATTCACCAAAACATACTCAGTGAGCATCCATTCTTAGTAGCCTGCCTTGATGCAAACCTAAATTATCTCTTCACAACCACTCTTTCTTTTTTTTTTTTTTTTTTTTGAGTTGGAGTCTCACTCTGTCGCCCAGACTGGAGTGCAGTGGCCGCTCCCGGCCACCGCAGCCTCGGCCTGCTGGGCTCCGGCGATCCTTCCACCTCAGCCTTCCGAGTAGCCGGAATTACAGGCATGCGCCACCACGCCCAGCTGATTTTTTTGATTTTTATTGTAGAGATGAGGTCTCGCTACCCAGGCGGGTCTCGAACCCGCGGGCTCAGGCAATTCACTCACCTCAGCCTCCCAAGAA